GCATGCAAGGCAAGCGCTCTACCACTGAGCCACCTTCCCAGCCCCTCAAGTCTCATTTCTTAAAGTTCTCTAGGCCTTAACTAGAATGGTATCAAAAAAGGATAAAGTCAAAGGACCTTTATTTTAAAAAGGCAGAATTGGCCAAAAAGTGAGGAAAAATGGTGTATCAAGATTTTTTTTTTCATTTAAAACCTGCCTGTTTCTGTATCTGATTTTATTTACTTATTTTAATTTTTTTAATTTTTTTTTTTTTTTTTTGTCGGTCATGGGGCTTGAACTCTGGGCCTGAGCACTGTCCCTCAGCTCTTCAGCTCAAGGCGAGTGCTCTACCACTTGTGCTACAGCGCCACTTCTGGTTTTCTGGTGATTTATTGGAGCTAAGAGTTTCACGGACTTTCCTGACTGGGCTGGTTTTGAACCGCAATCCTCAGATCTTAGCCTCCAGAGTAGCTAGGATTACAGGCGTGAACCACCGGCGCCCGGCTATTTATTTATTTTTTATTGTAAAGGTGATGTACAGAGAAGTTACAGTTACATAAGACAGGCAATGAGTACATTTCCTTTTGAACAGTGTCACCCCTTCCCTTCCTCTCTCCAGTTCTTCCCCTCATAACTACTCTCCCCTCCAGTTTAGATAGTTCATTTCCAACATAATGTCTAGTGGGTTTCATTGCTGGATTGGTTCACCAATTTTCCTACTGTTTCTGTGCTTTTCCCACCCCTCCCCAAATCAGACAAACTTATATACAAGATAAAGGGTACAGAAATAAAAAAAAAAAAAAACAGCAACACAGACAGAAGAGAGTAAACCAAAGAAAAAAGGAAAGAAGAAAAATAAATCAAACTACAAGCTGTACAAAAAACAAAACAAAACAAAAACAAAACACCAAAACTCTTGCTTCCATTTTCTGGAGTTCATTTCAAAAGCATCATTTTTATATCATTATATGCACTTAGCTATTGAGTTCTCATGATCTTCTCCTAAGAATACCTTCCTTTCTTCTCACTGTGTAAATGTTTATAGCCTGCTGTTTAATTAATCATTTCCAGGTGTAATTATTTGTCTTTCACTAGCTATTGGGCTTATTTGTAGATTTATAGACACATTCTAATTACTACAAATGAAGGAAACCATGAAGCCTATGTTTCTTTGGGTCTGGCTTACTTAGTATGATTTTTTTTTTTTTTTGTCGGCCATGGGGCTTGAACTCTGGGCCTGGACACTGTCCCTCAGCTCTTCAGCTGAAGGCGAGCGCTCTACCACTTGAGCCACAGCCCCACTTCCGGTTTTCTAGTGGTTTATTGGAGATAGGAGTCTCACGGTCTTTCCTGCCCGGGCTGGCTTTGAACCGCGATCCCCAGATCTCAGCCTCCTGAGTAGCTAGGATACAGGCGTGAGCCACCGGCGCCCGGCTACTTAGTATGATTTTTTTCCAAGTCAATATGAATAGAGGAAGAGAGAGCAAATTCAGTCACTATATTCAATGTGCATTATAAAAAAAATTAAAATATATAACTTAAGTGTAGAAACAGGAGGGGGAATAATGGAGGAGAATGACAGAAGGGGTGATATTGATCAACATGCACTGTGCTTATAACCTAACTTACAGCAGGGTATAGCCTCTTTGTACAACTACTTGATAATAAATTTTTTAAAGACATTTGGACTGGAGGCATGGCTCAAGTGGTAGAGCTCAGCTAACAGAAAAAGTCAAGCAAAAGCACAAAACCTGAGCTCAAGTCCAAGTACCAGCAAAAAAAAGGGGGGGGGAGGGAGAAAGGAGTACCTAGAACTTTTAGATTAGCCAACTAGCTCTTTAGTTGCCATTCACTGATAACATATGAAACACTTTAGT